AATTAAATTAACACATTAAATTGACAGCTCTAATAGGATTTATGTATGTATTATTTAAATATATTGTCCTTGGTGTTTCACATAGACTTCAGACATTAAACAATGACTATTTGAGGAGTTTGTATGTAATGTTACAACAACCCTGACAATGGAAAATCAATGTACCAGAGCATGTGGAGGAAAATGTTTTAGAGCTTAGTAAAAGGTTAAATACACATACTGGTGTGTTAGGAGGACATACGTCTATATTTTGTCTGAACAGTATAGCGTGAGTCATCTCTGAGCTAGCAAATCAAACATTAGTACCAAACAAATATTTGTCACCGTTGATTGAGATAAACAAATCCAGCGTCTGCAAAATAAAATAAATCTACTACTGTGCAAATCCGCTTCACACAAAGAGGTGATACAATTTACTCCACCATGTTTAGATTTAATGTTTGCTTTACTTACTTTGTGATGAAGTTAAAAAGTTTACTTTTACGCTGTTGACTGAGAATGCAAATGAAAGTAAAGCAAAGTTGTTTCTTGAGTCCAAAGACCAGAGCAGATTAAAACATTGACCAGAATGTCAAAAGCATAATTATTTTCCACTATGACTTTAGCAATGTCCAGGGCAGCTGTGGATTGGGAATGAATTTACCAACAGCCAATTGAACTCCTCTCTCAAGCTCTGCTTAACAGTGTGATAGTCCGGCACGGTGTCTCAAAAAGCTGATCAAATCCTTGCAAGAATTGAATAGCAATGTCCCTCTATTACAATCCAACTAACTGCCAGGGAGGGCCCTCATGCTTGGTGAGATGCTTCCCCCTATAGGGAGGGGGAGGAAATGATACAGGAGATGTATTCATAGTTACCTGAGCGACGTCAAATTTAAATATTTCACCCCTAGATTACTAAAAGGGCGATGACAAATAACTCTGAACCATACGTAACCCTCCCAAACAATAAAACGATATATCTACCTATCTACTATGAAAGCTTGTTTCCGCCACAGAATAATAAAAAAAAAAGGTAATTGCATCTCACAATTCTGACTTTTTTTCTCACAATTGCTAGTTATAAAGTCAGAATTGCGTGATATAAAGTGTTATAAATTCAGAATTGCGTGATATAAAGTTGCAATTGTGTGTTATAAAGTCAGAATTGCGAGATATAAACATGCAATTTTGAGAAAAAAATGTTGATTTCTCACAATTATTACTTTATAACACACAATTGCAACTTTACGCAAATTATCACGCAAACTCGCAATTGTGAGATAAAAAGTCGCAATTATTATTTTATTCTGTGGCGGAAACAAGCTTCCATAACCACTGTACATTGTGCTGTATTTTTACAGACATGTTTTTAAAGTGTTGTGTTACTGTTGTTTGTCACTTGTCTGCTGAATATCGTGGAATATTTATCACCTAAATGTAACTTTTTTGCTCATTTGCTATTGAACAATGACTCAGCAATGAGTCAACAGTGATTTAAAATAAAGTGTAAACTGTTTCCAGACATGCCAGGGCGGCATAGATGTTTTTCTTCAAACAAGCTTTAATCACAGAAGGCTCGATTTAACCAGTCGGTGGTTTCATAACAGCAGGGTTAGCCGATGTTTTGTGCCCTTCAAGGTCATTGCCAACAGAGTCTTGCTTTAAGTTTGTTTTTAACTGCCACTTTGGAGTCTCTCAGTGCCGGCAATTATAATGGCTAACATCCAAAAGGTTCATTTTATAATTTCATGGGGAAAGAGAGGTGCAATAAGTTCTTCTTTAAGTACCTGCAATAAATCAGATTTGCTGATGTCCAAGTTTCAGCAGAGTAGATTATGGTTTACATTTGGATGTAGCATATCAATCACTGAAGAAAATCCAATATATTAATTTCATTAAGCTGCCCGTAAGATGCCAAGCACCGGGTTCGCACGGGGACACGCGGGACTGGCTGGAAACTCCTCGCAGTGAAACTGAATTTATTTGATTCTTACCACAGGCTAGAGGCAATGAGAAGTAATGACAAGTGTTTTTAAGGTCCCAGCAAGAACACCAATACATTCTGACCGCTGTCAGGTGGGGATGAACATCGCTTTTGATAAAAGACACCTTGGGGGCCAAAACTGAGTCCTCAGTAGGATCAAAAGACAATTTTTGCACTTCTTTATGTGGTGCGACACACAGCACAAGGGATGAGAATACAGAAACGACCTGGGAAATGGAAGTGTTGCGTATAAAGAATATACAAGGAAGGCTTTTGTAAAAAGTGTTTTTTTTTTTTTAACTTTTTTTGTACTTTACACTTTACACAGGTCTGCAAACCTCAATAAATGCAGAAATAAGTGGACAAAGGTGATTACAAAGTCTCGTGCCATTATATGTTGATTAAAATGTCAAACTGTTTGCATAATATAAAATTCCCTAAATCCTCCCTAAAAGTAATAGATTTCTGTGGGACGGTGTAACAAGATGGTGAGATGTGTATATTCATTGAGGATATGAGGATAAAGAAGCTTAAAAAGTGGAGCTATCTCCTTGAAACCATTTGATAAACTCTGACTGGTTTATTAATAAATTATATTATGGCAGCTGTGAACACTACTGAGGACAGTGTGACACCTATTATGTAAATTACAGCTGACCTTTCTATGATGGGTGGTCTAAACTAGTCATTTCTTAACCCTTGTGTTCTGTTCGATTTCTGTGTACACCCCTTATGGACCGGGTCAAATTGACCCTAATTGGATTCAATACAATTCCTCAAAAATCACACTATGAAAAACAACAAAGATTTAGATACAAACTGTAAACTTTTAATATCAACATTTGTCAAACATTACAAAAACATTATATCTGAAAATATGATTTATGAAAATGTTTTTAAAACATTTTTTTAAAACAGTTTTGTTTTGACAAAATTGGAAAATAAACAGTATACTGATTTTTTTTGCATATATTTTTTTTTACTTTTTTTTTTTTTTTTTTTTACATTTTATGCTTTGAACATCGTAACTGAACAAAAAAAAAAAATCTGTATAATGAAATTTTTTCATTTTCCTAAATTAACTTTCCCTAGTTTCCTAAGACCTATTTTCCTAGTTTCATTATTCACTCACCGGGAAGTGAGAAACCAAACATAACAAAAACATACATCAAATAAATGTTTTTTATTTATTTTTTGGCTCTGTGAAGCTGCCTTTGAAAATCCTACATAAAAGTTTTGGTTAAAAGCTAGGTATTTTAGATATTTTGAATATTGAAATGAGAGCTTATTTTACTATCTGTGTCTGACAAAGATTTTCATCTGTAATTTGCAAATAATTCTGAACACTGTAATTTTAGCTTTTTCAAGTGTGTTTGGTTAGGGTTAGAGCACTTTTAGATGCACTTGCACGTTAGAACTGGAGTTGAAGTGTCCTTACATACAGAAGATAAATGTTTTTATTTTGTGTCTGTACAGTTGCTTTTGAATGGCTGTCTATGAGGGTCAAATTGACCCGCGAACATCACGAACGTAACAGTAATTTTGTTTGTATATGTCAAAACACATCAGCATGTTGAAACTTTGCATGCATGTTCATCATGATAAATGAGAAAAAGTCACAAAATATCAAGACAAAAAACAAAGGTTAACCAGTATTTCCAACAACTTGAAAATCGAAACGGGTCAAATTGACCCGCAACATAACACAAGGGTTAAATAAAGAGGCAAGCAGTCTGAGGCTCTGATGTTGTTTTTTTGTAAGTCAAATGTTTTGGGAAATTATTCATGTGTTCTTCATCCTGGAAATATAACTCAATGGATAAATTCGATTACAAACCAACAAAAATGGAGTTGCAGTTAAACAGTTATTCCTATCCCACTTCAAAATATAGTAATTTGTGCTAAATCTGGAACCAGTTGAGATCCATAAACTGAAGTTCCTATCATTTTTGAACCCTTGACCATGGCAGTTAACCCTAGGTTGCCTCAAGAAGTGCCCATTTAATATCATATTATCTCATCACAGCAAAACTCAGAATGAATGTCATTGCAGTGTCCAGCATATAGTTAGTACTCTATATAGTACTCTAATTAATGTGTGTGTGTGTGTGTGTGTGTGTGTATATACATATTGTAATATATATTTATATTACAATTTTTGATACCTGTATAATTGTCCCCACATGACTGTGCTACTTTCATGTCTTCCATATCACTGTGTGTAGTCTCTTCCTTCTCAGATTAACAATTTCCATCTCACATTAATTATTTAAACTCAAGTCAGTATTTAATGTCCATTTATTTATGTATTTAGTAAATGGCTTTTTAATGTCAGCCGATCATTATGTTACAATAAACCCACACAAACCCATGCACATTTTCCCTTACATGTTTTATAATAGGCCTACAAATAATTTTAGGAAATGTTCATACTCTTTAAATTCTGCAATGGAGAATTACACTTTCTTTTCTTCTTTTTTTTTACATGGATGCTTTTGCTTTGTAAATCAAGGCCATTTAAGTTAATTACAAACGGCTCAACTTGTGTTAAAATATACTGTATGATGTAGCCTACTTAAACTCGAAGGGTCAATAAAGCACACTTGAGCTAATCTTTGTTCATTTGCGCAGTCATCTGTCTAGTTTTGCTTTGGTCAGTTCTCTGGCCCATTGGTTACAATCCTCTGTTGTGTGTCTTATCCATTTACAAATTTTAGCCAGAACCCACATGCCAAAGTGCATTTGTCCCGCGTTAAGTTTGAAGATTTATTTCCATTTGTTTTCAATAAACATTTTTTATGTACATACTACATACTATGCATATGCACTTGGATGGACAGATATTTTAGGAAGGGTAGTATAAGTTTTAGTACTTGGTGCCTTTGAAAGCATTTATTGCCATGTCAAGCTCCAGATTGAGCAGGAAATAATGTTAGTTGAAAGTTATACTTTAATTTGACATAATAGCACAAGATTGTGTCTACTTTCTACAGGTCTGCTGACAGATTTTCAGATCACTTGCACTCCTTGTCTGGAGAGGCACTGCCAGCTGTCCGCTTGACCCAGTCCTTCTCTGACCCCGCCACACACTAACCCATCTGCCACCAGGTTTATGTGCATTCCCATATTTACTACTAGCATGCACTCACGTCCCTGTAGGGGAAAGTTAATAATGGAAAGCTATAAAGCAAGACCCAAGGCCAGGTCTATGAAAAATAAAACACCTTTATGCTTTTTATTTTATTTTTTATTTCATACATTGGGTGACATGTATTTGAAAATGCCTCAGAGTAACATATTTTGCACTGATTTTGAAAATGCTTCTATGGGGAGATTTCAACATTCCTTACTGGTAGGGGGGATTTTTATGATCAGGGTTTATGGCCAACTTCATATATTTACAAGGAGCGATATTGCACAACACTGACATTTGCAAGCAGGTTTACTAGCTATTAAAAGCAAATGTTACTTGTTTTCACTTTTAAGTGTTTATATACGTTGCCCTAGTGTGGTCACGTAAAACATAATAGTATAACATCAATTTGGAGACCAGTATTTGAGACAAATATGGGTTTATACAGTTTTGTCAAAAGTATGTTTGATTGAGGCACTATATGTGTAAATCACTCCTTTTAATTATTGATGGCAGTCAGCCAAATTAGGGCAAATTAATACAATGATCAAATGGCAAAAAGTTGCATAAACTCATTGAGATATTAAGCAAAATATTGTACTTAATTGGCATTATGAAATCAAAAATTAGCATTTGACATTTATACTCTTCAAATATTTGGATGAGGTTTTCAATGAAAATCGACGATGAGTCACCACAGTCTTGCAAATGTCACAGATAGTTCACTCTGAAAAATAAAAAAAGCAGAAATGATTACTTATAAGGATACAATGCGTTTCCCAATGTTTATAGTAATGTCCAATAAGCATATATTCGCACTACCGTTCAAAAATGTGTGGTCAGTAAGATATGTATTTTAAAGAAGTTAAAACTTTTATTCAGCAAGGATGTATTACATTGATCAAAAGTGGCAGTAAAGACATTTATAATGTTACAAAGGTTCTTTTGAACGTTCTATTCCTCACAGTTTCCATAAAAACATTAAGCAGCACAACTGCACAACTTTTATAATAAGAAATGTTTCTTCAATCAGCATATTAGAATGATTTCTGAAGGATCATGTGACACTGAAGACAAGAGGAATGATGCTGAAAATATTTGCCATCACAGGGATAAATTGCATTTTAAAACTGTAATAATATTTCACAATATTACTGTTGTTACTGAATTTTTGATCAGATAAGATACTTCTTTCAAAAACATTATTTCACCAACTCAAAACTTTTGAACGGTAGTGTAGGGTACAACGGGGCTAAAGGCACACCGGGGTAAAAAGCGCCTTCGATTTTATTTTTGATTTTACTTCCTCATTTATATTTTATTTTATAATCGATCTTAAAATTTGCAGCAGCACTTTCCAAAACATCCACTTGTGGAAATTTTGCTGATCCTTAACGCACGCGATCGCGGGAAACAACACAAAGTTGATTCCGTAGTTTTGTTCACGGTAAACAAAGCAACAGTTTTTCAATAACGAAAGAATATGTAAAAGTATGGTATTTGGCTAAAAGGAGCCCCTGCTGTTGGAGTGAAATCACAATAATTAACATGATAATAAATGGCTGACTTTTCCATTTGTGGACATCCATATATCACATTGGGTGTCCTAAGAGATAAGAGATATTCAACATATTTATAATGAAACTTGAAAAAAAAAATGAAAAAAAAAATATATTAATCATATCACATAATCAAATATAATTTATTGTTATTACTGTAAATCTATAAAGTGTGCCTTTAGCCCTGTTGTACCCTATGCACAAATGTAAATGCAGCTCAAACACTTATATAAGACAGAGTCAAACTACATCTGGTATTTTCACACATTTTCTGACAACATACCTAAGATTGTCAGCTGTGTGCTGCATTCAGCACGGCCTAAAGAGTTTTCTGCCACTGCTTTGTATTCTCCGTTGTCTTTGGCACCGACTCTCAAGATTAGCATGGAACAGACGCCACAGGTGTTTGAAATGTAGTAGTTGGTGTTAGTGTTGAGGCTGATGTTGTTGCGGTACCAGGTGACATGAGGTATGGGGTCGCCTCTCACGGCACAGCTCATGTAGCACTCATATTTCTCCGGGGTAGCGTGCGTCTTCAGTGGAACCGTGAAAATGGGAGCGGAGTCAAAGTTGCAAGGTTTAGATGGGGCTAAGTTGAGGCTGAACTTTTCTGCAGGAGACAGGAAAGCATGTTAAATACAACAAAGGGTATTAAGGAGAAGATTTAATATTCTTTATCGAGAGCGGACCAAAAGAGGTAGAAGCACCAGCCAGCTCACCTTTCTTTCTTACAATGCCCCATGTTTGGGACTCAGATGGTTCTGAGAGGCCTATGTCATTTTTGGAGTACACACGGAACTTATATTCTCTTCCTGGCATGATATTAATTGCGGTGAAGTTGTTGTTGAACAAGCGGTCAGCAACTGTCTGCCAGGTGCGTTTAATGGAGTCCCGTTTCATCACCATATAGTGCAAGTGATTATCTCGTTTCTCATCAGGAGAAGAATCCCAAGAAACTGTCAATGTGCCAGGGACATTTTCTTCCAGCTCCACTGGGCCAGGTGGCTTGGGATCATCTGCAAATATGCCAGGTATCCACACAATCCATAATATTCCTCAATATTATCTTAGAGATTTTGCCAAGAAGAATGTGTTGCTTGATAAACATGTTTTTTTTTTTTTGGTCCTGGAATGACTATTAACCACCCTTGAAATCAGAGGGAAATTATTCATAAGTTTCTGAAGCCCCAGCCCTATATCTAACCCTAATATCTGATTGGCTGATGCTGTTCCAGGATGAACAAGTACAGTATGTTTATCCAGAGACACATTCTTTGTGTGAAATCACAGTAAGCAAATTAGATTTCAGTCCTGATGCATTTTGCTTTTAAAATTATCTCTCACCCGTCACTCTGATCTCAACACTGAACGTCTCCTGACCCACTATGTTCTTGACGATGATGGTGTAGATCCCAGAGTCAGAACGCTCAGCAGATGGAATCAGGAGCTGGGATGTCCCATCTGCATTGCTCACGGTTACACGTTTGGACACAGGCGTTCCATCTTTCAGCCAGATTATAGTTGGCATTGGGGATGCCTGCAAATGAGATTTAACATTTTGTTATTAAATTCAGTAAGACATCTGAGGATAGGAAAATGTCTGTTCAGTAAATACCACCATTTTGTTACCTCAAAATCTATGATGACCCGAGCAGAATTTCCAGCTCTTACAACCATAAAGCTCTTCATTTTGCGATTGGTGAAATTTGGCCTCACTGAAAAAGAGATTTAGAGAGTAGCAAATGTGCTGAAATATATAATTTCAATGACAACTCTCTGAATAGTTTTAGCGTGTTATTGAATATGCCAATGTTAATATATTTGGTCTTGGGGACTAGATCTGCTACGCTGCTGCTGCAGATTAAGTATGAATTTCCTACTGCTAATAGATACACAGACACACTGCTGTGAGCATGTAAGTAAAGCTGCTGCTGCATAAATAGACATGTACACCCCGTAGCAGATCTAGGCAGGTGGAGCTGGGGAAGGTGGAGGGATTCAGAGGAACTACCTTACAGCAAACAAAGTATAATAACAAGAAATGTAAATACAGTGATGCATTTCCAACCTTTTGACTGTACACATTATAAAAAGTACATTCATATTATACCAGGTGGAGGCATGGCAATGATGTAGTTGTCCAGATCTCGTGGTTCCCCGTCACCTCCTTCATTGGTTGCAACTACTCTGACCCAGTACATAGCCATAGACTTGAGGCCAAGAATTGTATAGAAAGATGAAATGAGTGGGTTGGAGTTGCAGCGACCCCATTCTGTGTTCTCAGCTGGCCTTAATTCCACAAAATAACCTTTAGCTTCATCCTGGACACCTTCCTCTTCCTTTGGTTTTGTCCAACTCAAAGACAAAGAGGTATAGGTGGAATCTGTGACTTTCAGGTCAATGACTTTACCAGGGGGTTCTGAAATCCCAAATTGAAGTACAAAAAGGTCAAGGTAGTTCAGTTGTAGGATTATTATTTTTCTTGTTTTATTGTGGTTTTATTTCACCAGATTTTGAACACATTTAATCTTGCACTGCAAAAATACTTATAATGTGTTAATGTGATCATTTTTTGAGTGTCGACTTACTTTTAGGATCTCGGGCTATCACAAATTCAGAGGGTGTGCTTGGTTCTCCAGCACCAGAGAAGTTGATTGCGGACACGCGGAATTCATATTCCATTCCTTCAACAACCTCTTTCACATCACACTGTTTGCCTTGGGGAGGACAACGAGTGAATTAAGCCTAAGTCTAAAACTCTAGCATGTTTTATAGAACTATTTGGCAACACAAAAATAGATTAGAACTTTGAGAGCCAAAAAACAAACAAACAAACCTTTGATTGGCTCATCAGGGGGGTTCACTTGACCCCATAAGTTGCTGCCCCGTTTGCGTTTCTCCATATTGTAGCCAACAATGTTGGTTCCACCAGTGTTGGTAGGAGGTGACCATGCCAAAGTGATGCAGTTCTTGAAGGCACTGACCACTTTGGGTGTAGTTGGTGGTCCAGGATATGCTGTAACAAATTAGTCCTTTTAATATAACAATTCCTGCATGATTTGTGGGGGTGGGGGGTGGGATCGGATGAAATTTTCTCTGATAAAAGCATGATTTTGATTTAAAATGTTGGCCAGGTTTGCTGTTTTTTGTTTTTAGGGCTGCTTGACGAATCATGAGCTGATTGTGTGTAATTGAACACAGTGAAACACACAGCACATACCGTATATTTATTTAACTAAATCCCTGCCTTTGCGATGTAATAATCATTATCACAATTTCGTTTGTATTTCAATTAGTTGTGCAGCCCTAAATTTCTGTGATAATGGGTGTTTATTTACATTTTCAGTAAGATCTTAATGCTGTACTTAAAGGGATACTCCACCCAAAAATGAAAATTCTGTCATCATTTACTCACCCTCAAGTTGTTGCAAACCTGTATGAGTTTCTTTCTTCTGATTGACAAAGGAAGATATTTTGAAGAACGATTGGAACCAAACAGTTGTTTGGCACCATTGACTTCCATAGTAGAAAAAAAAAATACAATGGAATTCAATGGTGCCAAAGTTCCAATCGTTCTTCAAAATATCTTCTTTTGTGTTCATCAGAAGAAAGAAACTCATACAGGTTTGCAACAACTTGAGGGTGAGTAAATGATGACAGAATTTTCATTTTTGGGTGGAGTATCCCTTTAAGATCCAAACACATGGAATCTCACCTTTGGTGCCAGCCTGGATGTCAGTTGTCTCAAAAACATCACTGGTTCCCTCTGCAGTCAAGGCCCTGATGCGATAGCAGTACTTTCTTCCGTGGTCCACATTAGTGTCCTTGTAATGGGCCTCTCCGGGGATGTTTCCAATCTTTGTCCAGGTGTTGCGTCCAATTTGGTTACGCTCCAAATTATAGTTCAATAAAGGAGAACCGCCATCGTCTTTTGGGGGCCTCCACTTAAACTCCACACAGGATGCTGAGGCTTCTAATACTTCAACAGGTCCCATTGGGTTGGTGGGTTTATCTGAAGTACAAGAATGAAATACTGGGTTCCTTTTTTTTTCCTTCAAAAACAAATGTATTATGGATTAAAAAATTGGATTATATTTGTAAATTCTTTTGGGACAGGTTATTTTAAATTTTCCTTTACTGTACACCCAGCTAACGAAAAAATATTCTAAAAACATTGTGTTAACATTCCCATTAAGTTATGAAAACTTTCATTTGAAATGTCCTTTTTTTTTTCTGGGTTATGTGTGAAACATAAGGAAACATTCCATTTTATCATACTTCAAGCAGTATGGGAATGTTACTTTTGAACGTTACTTTCTCTGAATATTCGTCCAACTAAACAACGTCCAACTAAAATATGTTAGAAAAAAAAAAGCTCCTTCAAGTGTGTGTGCTATTATAATATTGAAGACCAGATAACTTTGAAAGAACTTTCGATTAACATTGCTGTAAGAATGTTTGTTCATAAGTTCGAGAAAACCTTGCCAGAACGTTAGCTTCATGAGAATGTTCCCTGTTAGTTGGAAACAGCATTTTTGATATTACATAACCTTTCAATTACCAACCTAGAACGATGAGTCTTGAAAGGGCTTCAATGGTTCCGTACTCATTTTTGAGCTTCAGCTTTACTTCTCCACTGTCTTTGCGTTGACACTTCACAAGTAGAAGGCGACTGTGACTGGCCGATTTCTCAATCCTAATGTGATTATCCTCAAGCATCTCCTCACCCTCACTGTACCACTGCACTTTCATTGGCTCGCGACCCACAAACTCCAGTTTGAAAGTTGCATTTTGGCCAACCTTGATTATTACAGGCTCTGAAAATTTAGCCAAGTCATCTTGATTCATCCTTGGTGGATCTGAAATGCAATATACAATAGATATCCAATGTAAAGTTTCTGACTTTTTAAATCAAATAATGCACCTCCATATTTTACATGATCAATCAAAGATTAATAACAAATATGAATTACCTTCCACGACCAAAATGGCCTCAGTTTTACGTCCATCTGCCTCAAAGCGGTACTTTCCATTGTCCTCCTCTGTGCAGTTTGTTACAATCAATTTATGAACTGCTCCATCTTTGACTATCTTCAGATCATCTGTGGCTGTTATCTATACAGATATTTCAACAGAATATTTGCTTACTGTATAAAATCACAGCTCTAGATCATGTCTAAATGAATAATATTGATTTGTGTATTGGTAATGAAGATAACTATTATCTTCGAGAACTTTGGGCATTATAAACCTGTGCTTACCTCTTTTCCATCCTTATACCAAATGCCATCGCATTCATCACGGCTGATTTTGCACTCCAGTTCAGCTGACTGACCGATGATGGCATGAACATCTGACAGCCCACTGATGAAGTGAACTCCCGGGTCTGAACAACAGGTGCATTGACAACAGTTTGATGATAAATATTTCTACTTAATATCGTAAGTAAAACGGTGCGTTGAGCAGATCTACAGAACATAGACCGTAAATAGACAGGACAATAAAAAAACATCTCAAAATGAAAATGAATTTTGTTCCGTTTGGTTTCGCCATGGGTTGTCGCACATGTATTTTTCCGCCGATGTGTACAGAACACTGTCCTGAAATTCTCCCGAGTAATGATGAGTCCGATTCTCGAGTGCATAACTCTTTTAAAGTCCTTTCTATTTAGTGAATTAAAGGCATACACCATGGCTATTGTCACACCGGTCAGCTTGAGTGCCGATGATAGCCACCTCCTCATGTCTCCTTAATCATATCTCGAACTACATTACCCATAACACCTTGCCTGGACTCATTATGCTTGATTACTTCCAGCTGTGTATCATTATCCTGTTAAGCTCTGCCTATATTAGCCCTGTGTTTACACTCGCTCTTTGTGAAGTCTTGTAAGTGTCACACTGCATTTCTAAATGCTTTCTCTCTGGTTCCCTGTGTCATGGTTTTTGATCTTCTGCCTGGTTTCTTGGATTTCCCTGTTTGCCTGTGTTTTCTGACCCGTTTTTTATTATTATTTTTTTATTATCTGCCCTGTGTTTTGACCATTTTTCTGTTTTTGGATTATGATTCTGGATTGAATAAAGCTGCATTTGGATCCTCGACCTCCGTGTCAGGGCAGTTCATGACAGTTATGTCCGAAAGCACATACTCTTTTGAGTAGTTATTTTGAATAAGTAAAAGGGAAAGTATGTGATCTTGGTTGCAGCCCGTGACTAGTTAAGCCTGAATCCTGAGCTAATGATTAATTTGAGCTTGTTCATTTTTTATGAATCAAAAACATACAGCGCGACCAGGGATATTCGATTCCTGAGCCATTTTTGTTTCACGAATTCACACTTGCATATAATTAGATCGAGTAAAGGTTTATGTGAATTTAGCGTGCTGTCCGGGAGAGGGCTCCGAGCTCGGAGTACTGCAAGTTCTTTTTAATGAAAAACATACTCTGGATCACAATTATTGACTGGCTGTTCGTATGAAAATGTGTAGTCAAAGATACACATTATGAGATTTGTTAGTTGTATTTTTTATACAAAAAAGGAATTATGAAATATTATTTTTGTTTTACATTTATTATCTAAATGATCCCAACATTTGGCAACAACATTTCTGTTTTTTGTCATAATTTCTTCCCCAAATTCCAAAGAATCAGTAATGGAAATAAATCAGTATCTTACCGATAATGGTGTCTTGGATTAAGGGCCCAGTCCTCACTCTCTTCCTTGGCTCCTCACTAGGAGTCTCTTCATCTGGTTGAGGTGGAGCAGCTTCCTCTGGTTCTGGTTGTTCTTCCTCCACCTCTGGCTCAGGTTCTGGCTCAGGTTCTGGCTCTGGCTCTTCTGCTACAGCTCCAGAGTCTGGTTTGGGTTCTGGTTTAGGTTTGGGTTTAGGTTTAGCCTTTGGTTTTGGTGCTTCTGGCGCAGCAGGTTCCTCCTCTGCTGGTGTCTGTTCCTCTTTTGCAGCAGCCTCCTCAGCCTGAATCTGTTTCAGTTGCTCCATCCTCTCATCACGCTCCTTCTGCAACTTCTCCTGTTGCTCCGCCGCAATCTTGATCAAGTCTGTGCCTCCACCTCCTGCTTGAGTGGTTTTGCGTGCTGCCTTCTTGCCCCTCTGGTTTGGATCTGGGTCAGCTGTTCCAAGGGCAGACCAACAGGAATAAGGTGTTAAAATTCGGGTCATTGAGTGGAAAACTTGCTGGATGTCTACATGACACTGCACACGTACATCCAGCTCTCAATGATATAATGGACATAAATGGTTGTTTGAACAATGTAAGCAATCAGTTTTCTTCTGTGCTCATTATTCATTTATATTTGAAACACTTTATTGAAATGATCAATTTTGCTATTTTAAAATGAATTATTTATGAGTGCTTGTCAGTTCGGTCAATTAATTAACTATTGTACAACTTAATTGTTCATTCATTAGAATGTTTTGGCTAGAATGTGAACAAAAGAGTCTAATTTTGAATTTATGAATCAAATCAATAGTTTATTTTATCTGGGCTGTGTCCGAAATCACCCCCTACTACACCCTTAAATAGAGCTCTATTTGAAGGGACAACCATTTGTAGTGGTGTCAGGAACCATAGTGGACATTGAGTGCACTCATTCAGTCCCACAATGCACCACAATAATGTGTACAAGCGATGTACGCTCAACGGCTAGAGAATACCCATAATGCACAGTGAGAGTCACACGTCAAATGAATTTCCACGTCTGAATAGAGGATGGCGCCTGCACCTGAATCATCCATCCATTTTCCAAACAGCTGGTCCCATAATATCATAAATTCCTTTTGAATTAATAATTAATTTTTTTAATTAAGGTTTCCATGGCAGAGTTCAAGATAAATCTTTTCAAAACTACTGGAGCTGCCAGTTTGCTACGTCTTAAATGGTTATTAAACAGAAAGCACAAACTAAGCAAAAGCTCAGAATTCACTCACTCGTTTTCATTCACCCTTTCAAGTGGACTATAAGTGGAGTAATGTAGGGAATAGTGAATTAGGGTATAGATTTAGAACACAGCATGGGAGTTAAATCGCTCTTACTGTATATGCAAGGATCCATACAATTTTACATGTTTATCAGTTAATCTGATAAATGTAATGGTTGATATCTGAATTTGATCTTACGCTCCACTACCAGCCAGGCGTTACATGACTTTATCCCAGCCACAGCTGCATAGATGCCCTTGTCCACTTGCATACAGTCCTGCACCACCAGTCTATGGATTAGCATGTGGATTAGCACTCTCACGCCAGCTCACTTCCGGTCGGAGAGCACGCTGGCACGGTTTGGTTGCCGCTTCTCCCTCCGTGACTATCTAACACTGTTGGATTTAATATTAATATTGTCGACGTTTATTTGCGCTAGTCAAAAAAGTAGTGCAAAACAGTCACATTTACTGGCATCTCGTACAAATGTTGCTGAATGCCTGTTGGCTCCGGTTGAAACGTCTTCGTTCCACGACCCTGGTCTGGGAAAACTGTCACTGGTGTCTTCCCCGGTCCGCTCTGTGCTGCCGGTTGTGACGCGCTGATACTCACTGGCATCTCAGCACCAAGCTTGTTGGTTCCTACTGAAACGTCCTCATTCCTTGATCGTGGTTTGTGAAAGCTGTCCCAGGTGACGTCCGTGCCTGCTGTGGTGTTCTGCCCTGGTGGGCCTGCCTGCTACCGGGCCATCTACGAGGCGGATCACTGTGTGTGTCTACCCTGGTGCTTTTTTACGCACGCACGCACATACACACTCATCGGCGGTGACACGCGGATAAGTTACTTACCGGCATCCCTAACTACTGAACTTCGAAATTCAACCTACCAAGGGGGTTTCTAAAATACTGCTGTTAATATGAGGATTAATATGTGTCTCTGGTGGATTCTTCTATGCTCTACTGTCAGTGCCACTTCAGCACTAAAATACTCGGCAGCGGAGCTATTGCGTTTGAACTCAATGAACTTCAGGACTCCACTGGCTCTGTTTGCCCACCGTGATGTTCTTTCCCGACCGAGATACATCCACCGCGGATCGGGACGATATTATACATCCAGTAAGTTATCCTCTGCTATTAGTTTGATTTGGTCTAACGTTCGTCCCGTTTCCTCCACCGGCCGTGGAGTTAATCCAAATCATTTGTTTCCAGTTACCAAGGCAACGCCAAACGCTAGTTTTACTGACTGTTTTAAATGTGGACTTTTTAATGTTCGATCTCTTACAAATAAAGGTCTGCTGATAAGTGAGTTTATTAGTGATGGCAAACTGGATATAATGTGCCTCACTGAAACTTGGCAACAGCCTAATGATTATTTTCATCTTAATCAAACAACCCCTAATGGTTATTCTTACATCAGCCATCCTCGCTCTAGTGGGCGTGGGGGTGGTGTTGCTGTTGTCTATCGTGACACGATCAAAGTTAAAATAATCACTATACCTAATTTTTCTTCTTTTGAATGCTTGGCTGTTAAACTCTCTGGCTTTCAACCATTGGTAATTTTAACACTCTATAGGCCACCTAAACCATCTGATCTGTTCTTATCTGAATTTTCTGCATTAATGACTTCACTTTCTGTCTATTCTCCCAATATATTACTTGTTGGTGATTTTAATATTCATGTTGATGCCACTACTACTTGTTCCTTTGCTGCTGATTTTATGTCATTACTTGATGGTCTTGATGTCACCCAAAATGTCAATTTTCCTACTCACAACAAAGGTCATACTCTAGATTTAGTTTGTTCAACTGGTATTGTTCCCTGCAATGTAACACATGCCGAGTTACCCATCTCTGATCACAAAGCTGTTTTATTTGAAGTCTCTGTCCAAGTTTCCAGGTATAAACATCAACGCACCATAGCCTACAGAAATGTAAAACACATTAATCCATCTGACCTTGTGACCCTCATAAATGCATATTCGACTACTGACTCCCTCTGTCCCCATAGCCTCATCACTCATTACAATGACTGCCTATCTTCTTCTCTTGATGCCCTTGCTCCCATTCAAACTCGTTCTGTTTCCTTCAACCACTCGGCGCCGTGGTACACACCTGATCTCCGCCAGTTAAAAAGATGTGGGAGACGCCTCGAGCGCCTGTATAAACGGACAGGCCTTGTATCTCATGCGCAGGCTTACAAAGAACACCTTTTGCAATATAATAACACCATTTCTGCTGCTAGAACATCTTACTATTCAAACATTATAAACTCTGGAAATAACAATTCTAAGCTCCTGTTTTCAACAGTAAACCGGCTCCTTAAGCCACCTGAAAATGTATTTTCAGACCCCTCAACGGAACTCTGCAACAAGTTTCTAAACTTTTTTCTTGCAAAAATTCAAGAAATACATCACCATCTGCTTAATATTCCTAGCACTCCAGCTCATAACCTGACCTACATAACTGCCCCGCAGGGCTCTGCTTTAACCATCTCCCTCTCAAACTTCACCTTGGCCTCAGAGAACCAGATCAATGAACTTGTCAGTAAATCAAAAACATCTACTTCACAATTAGACCCTATACCTACCAGTCTTCTTAAAGCATGCCTGCCTTCCATCGCACCATTACTCACTACATTAGTAAATTCCTCCCTCTCCACAGGCATTGTACCGCCCACTCTTAAGACTGCTGCTGTCACTCCGGTTCTCAAAAAGCCCAATGCTGATCCTGATGACTTGAACAACTACCGTCCCATCTCCAATCTTCCTTTTGTCTCCAAGATACTGGAGCGGGTCGTGGCACATCAACTACATCACCATCTCATCTACAATGACCTGTATGAACATTTTCAGTCTGGTTTCCGTGCTAAACATAGCACGGAAACAGCGTTGGTAAAAATCACCAATGACCTACTTTGTGCTGCTGACTCTGGCCTACTGTCCATCCTGATTTTACTCGACTTGAGCGCTGCCTTCGACACCGTTTCACATCCACTCCTCATTGAACGTCTGGCCAGCATTGGTATCATGGGGGATGCACTCTCCTGGTTCTGTTCATACCTCACGGATCGTCAGCAGTTCGTTCAACTCAAACATTATAGATCGGCCTGTGCGCCTGTGCCTCAGGGTGTCCCCCAGGGGTCAGTGTTGGGTCCACTCCTTTTCATTATATATCTGCTTCCTCTGGGCAAGATCATGAGACACCATAAAATTAATTTCCACTGCTATGCTGACGACACCCAGCTTTATATTTCAACTAAACCTTCATCTCCTCTTCCACCCACCTCACTCAGCAACTGTCTTCAAGACATTCAAATCTGGATGAACACAAACTTTTTAAAACTTAATGCCAATAAGACAGAAGTCCTGCTCATCGGTTCCAAATCTACTCTCTCAAAACAGCAAAACCTAAATTTAAGCATAGATGAGACCACGGCCTCTCTATCAACTCAAGTCAAAAGCCTTGGTGTCATTCTGGACAGTTCCCTTTCATTCAAATCTCAGATTAAATCACTTACCCGGACTTCGTTCTTTCATCTCCGAAATATCTCCAGGCTTAGACCTTCATTGACACAAGCCAGTACTGAAACCTTAATTCATGCCCTTGTCATGTCTCGTCTGGATTACTGCAACTCCCTTCTCATCGGTCTCCCTTCTAAGCTGATAAATAGACTTCAACTTATTCAGAACTCTGCCGCTCGAATCCTCACTGGTACCAGACCATCTGATCATATCACACCTATCCTCATCACTCTACACTGGCTCCCTGTGCACTACCGTATTGACTTTAAGACCCTCGTCATCACTTACAAAGGACTCCATAATCTTGCACCCAGCTACATTTCTGACCTCCTATCAGGATATGTTCCTACACGCTCCCTCCGCTCTTCTTCAACTGGCCTACTTGTCACCACCAAATTCCGCCTCTCCACCATGGGGGCCAGGGCCTTCAGTTGCGCTGCTCCAAGACTTTGGAATGCCCTCCCCTCCCACATTCGACAGGCAGACACAGTCAATTTATTTAAAAAAATGTTAAAGACCTTTCTCTTTAGGAAAGCTTTTAATCTTTAAAACATTTTAGTTCTACACTACCATATTAACCCTCCAGACACTCTTTTATAGTGCTTTCTTCTGGCGTTCTTAACACTTTTCTGATTTGTCTCATTTGTAACATGTATTAGCCTACTATGAATTTAATGTATTTTAATGTATTTCCTTCTTTTATGTCCTCCGAAACATGTAAGATGTCCTTGGGTATTTAGAAAGGCGTCGGCCAAATAAAATGTATTATTATTATTATTATTATTATGTCCTCGGAGACAGTGATGTGATACTTTTCACTTTGTTCCAGGGGAACATTCTTGCCTATCCAAGAAATCTTAGGGAGCGGAGCAGATAAGACACATTCGAACACGGCATCCTCTCTTTCCACACACTTCACTTCCTGAATCTTTACCAAGAAGTCTGCCACTGGAACTGCAAAGGTAAAGACATCAAAACAAGCATATATTAACCTAAAACTGTACTTGTAACATCTAAATGAACTAGTTTGATCAATCAGAATATTGGATAAAAAATAAAAAAATTCTGTCATTGCTTATTCACCCCCATGTTGTTCCATCATGTTTTTTTTCCCTCCCTTCTGTTAAACGGAAATGTTTAAACTTAAACTCCAAGTTGCTTTTCAATCAGAGAAATTGAATGATTTACTGTAAACTGTCAAACTACAAAAAAGCACCCGAAAAATACAGAAATGTAAATTGTCATAGCATTCATTTGAATGGTTTGAATTTGAAAGTGCAAAATAGATTTGAAAGCTACTGTGTTTAATGAAATACAGTTCAACATATAAATCATGTCTTGTGTCATGTTATAGCACTATCCAATTTGATTTTATGTAAAGAACAGTTCAGGCATTCTCCACAATATTGTGTTTCACAGAAGAAAAAAAATCCCAAACATTATGGTGTGAGATATGAGGGTGATATAATGCTGACAGAATGTTAAAACCTTTTTAAAAAACATTTTGTTAATGTTAAACACTATGAATGATCTTTCTAAATGCTTAAAGCTCACTTTTAAAGTCAGTGGAGAAGATATTGACCCCCCCAATATCAACTTGATACAATCCAGCATCTTCTGGATTCAAACCATTTACACTAAAGATGAATTTTCTGCCGACTTGACGCAGCGAATGCTTCTCATCTGTTTCATTGGTAAATGGAACCATAACACCATCCTGTGAAAAAAAGAAGAAAAAAAAATATATATATGTATAATTATTATTTTATTTTACTGTAAAATTAATTAGAATGTGCATGTGTTATTTAACCTTGAAGAGAAAGATTTTGGAATTGGGATCTTTGAGATCCATCTCAAATTCAAATTCGGCACATCCAGGCTTCTTGATTTCAATATGTCTCAGGCTGCTCAGGTTTTCAATGTACTGTTAGAGGAAAAGCAAGTTAAAAATATACATTGAAACTTTCAAAAGATGCCTCTGAGGTTAGATTTACAGAGGCATTTAGCACATACACTTCTTGGGCAAAAATAGTAATCGAGACCAGTGAGGTATTTCACACGTCATTCATTTTCAGAGCCTGTGTTTATTTATATGTTGAAAATTATGACATTTGTTATTTTGTTTGATGGATTTGGTTAAGCCTTTTTTTTTAATGAGGTGTATCAGTATACTTCAACATAATGATTTTTCACTGTTCATTTGTAATGCACCTGAGACTGCTGCTCCTCTATTTCCCTTTTCTTTTCATTCAGCTTCTTCAACATCCCGCGGAAGTCGGTCACCCCATATTCAATGCAGATGCGCTCGTAGTCTTTCTTATCAGCGCTCAATAACAGTTCCCAAAATTTCTCGTCAACTTCTCCATCTTTCTTCGGCTCCTTTTGATCTGCTCTACAAACACAATACACCATGAAGACGCCTTCCCGGGACGTCCAGGGTCAGGCTGGACACATGCATCTGCTTTTGCATTTCAACAAACAGATAAACCATTCAAAATGCAAAATTTGTGCTGGAATCATCATTGGTATGATCAGCAAGAACTTACCGAGTCCTCAGGGTCTTTTTTAGATCGACTACTGCTTTTTCTCGTTGTTCTGAAAATAAATAGAGTTGCGCTATTCATCTTTATTTTAAAGGAGAGGTTGTATTTGAAATCTTTTTTTTTTTTTTTTTGCTTCAATGATTCACTCAAGACTTGAATGCAAACAGACCTAATCGTGCCTCCTGCATTGCTTTGCTCTTCTTGAACCCAACTGGAAAAAAAAGAGAATTTTTGTTTTTCTTAGCACAGCTGAGGCGGAAAACTGATTCACTTGTTTTATTTGTGCTTGCACAGGTACAGCTGGAAGAGGTTTTTCTACTGACCTTCAATCACATTGAGTGTGACCGTGACTACAGCGCGTCCATACTCATTATTTGCATAACACTTGTACGTGTCTGCTTGATCAACTCCAACATTGGGCATCTATTAGACACAATTTGTTTTTTATTAATAATACTGTATTTGTATTGGTTTGAATTCACAAAAGCAACATGGCTACATACACTACATGGCGAAAAGTGTGGAAACACGTTTGGCTATTGTGGCCCTTTTCTTTTTAAGCATGGCAATGCATGAACCCAATGGGGCTGAAGCAGAATACATTTTTAAATTAAAAGTGTTTGTTAACTCTTTTTTTTTTTGGGGGCCATCTAGTGTATTTTTATGAAGTTTTTTTTCAATGCATATTAATGCTATTGTACAAGTTGCGGACAAAACGACACCTGTAATTGATGCTCTCCTAAGACTGGATCATACGAAACAATATATCTTCCCGGATCAGATGTATCTCCGTTGTTTCGAGCCCATGTCACATCTGGTGTTGGATCTCCAGTGATGATGGCTTTGAAAAATGCAAACTTCCCTGTGTGAGGGTTTAACAAAGTCAGTTGAGTACTTCTGAGACATAGTCATTATTTTTTTTAGCATTAAAGATGCTTTGAGCTGCTGTACTATACCTTCCTGAATAGTCAAGGCGATGGGTTTGCGGGAGAAATCGGGATGGCTTTTTCCTTCCGGGATTTCCTCCACAAACTGTGTGATCATTACTCCTGGGACTTTAGATCGCTTCTTAATGGACACTGAGGAATCAAAAGTGAGCAAAAAGTTCAAAGCTGGGATACTTCATACATTAAATCAATGGATTTTGAAAAAGTTCTCAGTGAATTTTTATAAACTGAAAATAGAGGAATATCTACCTTGCCCAGGAGCAGTGGGTTCCACTTCCTTACTTTTTGTGAATTTCATCTTGGCATGTGGGATTCAGAAAACTCAGTCCTGTGGGATGAGTAACATTAGTGATCAAAAAAATCTTCAGATCCATGAACTTTGAACTGTTTTAAAGGAATAGTTCATCCAAAATGAATGAGGAAATAAACACATATTTATATTTATTTTTAAACATCCTTATATTCTTCAAACCTGTATGACTTTCTTTATTCTGTAAGGGAAAAAATACATACAGATATTTGGTATGTCTTTAGAAAAGGAATATTTTACTCAATTTCATACTCTGTTAACTCCAGAACTGTTGTGACCGGACCATTAAGTCAGTGGTTTGAACTCAAGAATTGGATCAGAGAGCAAATTGTTCTTTTGAGCTGGTTCTTTTCGATGAACCATTTGATTCGGTTCACAAATCGGTCTAAATGGTTTGTTCACAGATGGACTGATTTGTGGAGTAATAGAACCATTTAACCTCACTGAATCAATGGTTCTCAAGTTCAGCTCATTGGAGTTGAAAACTATGAGTGAGTAATACATTCAGTTTTGGTCTCTTCAGATGGTGACTATGGATTGTATGGATATTTTTTGTTAAATGTGAATTTCTGTGTTCTACAGAAATAAAATGACGGGTTTGAAGCGTCAAATAAAATATTTAATTATTTATTCAAATCTTTGCCATTTAAAATGTGAATTTTACCTAAACCCAGATGAAGTGAATTCACTTCATAACTACTGTACTTTAGGTGGTGTTTGATAAGGTCGACGCAGTTAATCTTTCAAGTTTTGTGATTTGTTGTGAAATTGGGGCAAAGTTCAAGAATTTGTTAGATTTGAAATGCTAGATGTTGTTCTGATGAGCCATCGTAATGAATATTTGACTCTGATCATGTGTGTTCCCTAAGGCAGGGAGCATGGAGCTTAGCAGCAGGGTTAAGCTAAGAGCTTCTGTCAGCTTTTCTCTACAGCAACACGAACACTCCAGCTGTCTAGAATGTAATTCATGGTCCAGTCACCGGGGAAAAAAGCTGGCAACAGTGTCACTTACACCGATCCGCAACCTCAGGATTTAAGCAATATGTCTACAACAGGAATGTAATGCTGACACATTTTGAGTAAACCTCATCTCCTGAAGTCTCTATTAGATGGGTTTCTTGGAATGAAAGTAGAGACAATAATTGTGCCTGGAGGTGGTGGCTGTAAATTAGTAAGAGATATGCGGCAATTATATTTTTTCTTGGATTACAACTTGGATTTTTATCAACACAGGGTTTCTAGAGCTTCTTTATGCCAGTAAGCCTTGTTAGTTTGGTTTCTGGTGAACTGAAGAGTGGTTGTGACCCTATAGAACTTGTGGCCATGTATATTGTATGAAATACTAAATTGACATACTTGAAACTGTATTCAGAGATTTCAAAAGTGTATGTGTTTAAATTCATCAAATGCAGTGCTGTAGCTGCTTGGAATTGATTCACATTGAACAGTGTTATTGAGAACAGCATTATAAAGATGGATACAAATTGCTGCTTTCTGTAGAGTAGTAATTTAAAGTGACAGTAAATTGTGGACTTCACTTCTCAATTAACACTATATGCGCCCACCGGTGTGAGTCAAGTAACCCTGCATGTTTTTGTCTGTTATAGGTCACATACCTCATAAAACTATCAATCAAAATACCTCTGACGCACAGTCTAATCTCATCTCAAATGCAGAGTGCTAACATTTTTCAAGAGCTCTATTTCTCCTCAATCTTCTGTGATAGTAATACTATTCCCAGATGAGTTTTATAACTGCTAGATTGAAAGGAAAGATTTCAGAAACAAAATGATTGGTTTTCCATTATTTATGTGTAGCAGTTGTGTATATGTATATAAAAAAATGAAGTCTCCTCTGCTCACCATGGCTGCATTTATTTGATCAGAATTAACGTAATATTGCTAAATATTATTACAATTTAAAATAATAGTTTTCTGTTCGAATATTTTAATTTATTTTTGTGATGGCAAAGCAGAATTTTCAGTCTTCAGTGTCACATGATCCCTCAGAAATCAGTCTAATATGCTGATTTGCTGCTCAAGAAACATTTCTCATTATTATCAATGTTGAAAACAGTTGTGCACAATTTTGTGAATAGATGATTTTTGATGAATAGAAAGTTCAAAAGAACAGCATTTATCTGAAATAGAAATCTTTTTTTTTTTACATAAGTTTACATAAGTACATACTGTTCAAAAGTTTGGGGTCAGTTTTTTTGGAATTTTTTTTAACTTTTATTCAGCAAGGATGCATTAATTTTACTGTAATGAAATGTAATATGTGTGTATATATGTATATGTCTGTGTGTGTGTCTATATATATATATATGCTTATCATAAGTGAATACACCCATGCTAAAGTTGACTAAAAAGAGGAATAAAAAAATCATCTTTTGGAAATTGATCTTAATGCCTTAATTAAAAAAACGAGGAAAAATCCAACCTTTAAGGACACCAATTTTGTGAATGAATAATGTATCGTAAATAAATAAATATTCTTCCTTAAAATACAGGCGGCATAAGTCAGGACACCCCAATGTTAAATTCCCATAGAGGCAGCAGATTTTTACTTTTAAAGACCAGTTATTTCATGGATCCAGGATACTATGCATCCTGATAAAGTTCCCTTGGCCTTTGGAATTAAAATAGCCCCATATCATCACACACCCTTCATCATACCTAGAGATCGCCATGGTTTTATTTCAGTTAGCCTAATAGCTGGTTTGATTTGCATTGAGAGATGATCTTATGGAAAGTACCCCATGCCAATCTCTAGGTATGGTGAAGGGTATGTGATGATGTGGATCAGCACAGTAGATCGGCGTGTACACTTCCACACACGCAATTTCCCTCCACGAATTATTGCCCATCTGGCTGTCTTTATATTGTTTTAACAGTGAATTGTAGAGGTGCTGGTATAGTGACGGACTTCTTCACACAGCCTTCTCTTCAAATTCGACATCCATGTTTTTTTTCCAGCGCATGAGCAGTTGGTGCTATTGTAGCATAGTCACAAAAAATAGGAGGCACCCTCCGATGACAAATTTGACGTCACTCGGACCCTAGCGGACCCTCGCGTACGCGGAAAGTATAAAGGCCGTTAGAGTACGAGTACACAAGCGCAGTATCGGTATTGTTGCATCCCTAAATATATATATATATTTACACACACACACACATATATCAGTCCTTTCAGAAAAACGCAGGGTTTTTTGTGATTGTTGCGGGCAAAAATCGTTGATTATGCAGCCCGTTTTCTTTAAAAATGCGATGGAATATGCAGGATATTTATGCAATTTTATGCAATGAAAAAAGAGGAAAAAAGTGATTCCCCCAACACTCTGTTCTCACTAGGCTACTACCTTAATGTAAAGATTAATTTCTTATTACTTATTACTTCCTATGATAAGCAAGCATACATCACAGAAAGTGCTGGGAATATTTAAGTTCTCATCTTGTTTTATTTCAGACCTTAATAAAAACATCAAACTTACAAAACATTGATGAGTCAAACAAGTTCTGTAGCTTTACAAAAAGGAATATGCTACAACTTCTGTAAAAATGAATAAAAAAAAAAAATAAAAAAAAAGTGTGCTCCTGTTTTACAGCTTTTGGATGATGTTCAGGTCGCGTAATTACGTCACTCCATAACGTTCCCATGGCAACAGGGGGAAATGGCTGCTCTTGTGTGAAGCAAACGCAACACTTTTCAACTTTCTGCTAAGATATATGTGACTTTTTTGCAACGAAAATGCGAGGATTATGAAATCATGCAAGCCCGCATATTTTGCACGGAAATCAGCAATTAATGTGGCGAAAGTGCGGCGTATTTGAAAAAATGCGGCCCCCGCATAACTGTGCAGACTTTGGCTGATTATGCACTAAATCATGCGATCGCATAATCGCGTTTTTCTGGAGGGACTGACATATATATACACTCACCGGCCACTTTATTAGGTACACCTGTCCAACTGCTTGTTAACACTTAATTTCTAAGCAGCCAATCACATGGCGGCAACTCAGTGCATTTAGGCATGTAGACATGGTCAAGACAATCTCCTGCAGTTCAAACCGAGCATCAGTATGGGGAAGAAAGTTGATTTGAGTGACTTTGAACGTGGCATGATTGTTGGTGCCAGAAGGGCTGGTCTGAGTATTTCAGAAACTGCTAATCTACTGGGATTTTCACGCACAACCATCTCTAGGGTTTACAGAGAATGGTCCGAAAAAGAAAAAACATCCAGTGAGCGGCAGTTCTGTGGGCGGAAATGCCTTGTTGATGCCAGAGGTCAGAGGAGAATGGCCAGACTGGTTCGAGCTGATAGAAGGGCAACAGTGACTGAAATAACCACTCGTTACAACCGAGGTATGCAGCAAAGCATTTGTGAAGCCACAACACGCACAACCTTGAGGCGGATGGGCTACAACAGCAGAAGACTCCACCGGGTACCACTCATCTCCACTACAAATAGGAAAAAGAGGCTACAATTTGCAAGAGCTCACCAAAATTGAACAGTTGAAGACTGGAAAAATGTTGCCTGGTCTGATGAGTCTCGATTTCTGTTGAGACATTCAGATGTTAGAGTCAGAATTTGGCGTAAACAGAATGAGAACATGGAACCATCATGCCTTGTTACCACTGTGCAGGCTGGTGGTGGTGGTGTAATGGTGTGGGGGATGTTTTCCTGGCACACTTTAGGCCCCTTATGTGTGTGATGCCATCATGTCAATATGGACCAAACTCCCTGAGGAATGCTTCCAGCACCTTGTTGAATCTATGCCACGAAGAATTGAGGCAGTTCTGAAGGCAAAAGGGGGTCCAACCCGTTACTAGCATGGGGTACCTAATAAAGTGGCCGGTGTGTGTATATAGTATATATGCATACATACATACATACAGGGATAGAGGCAGACAGAACACATTATAATCGAACTACTATAAATTTGGTGTTGATTTATAGTGTAAGCAGTACATCAAGATAAGTTTATCTGCAGACAGCTTCTTATCAGGGATAACCATATTTGTAGGAGATGAAAAATAGCCATGCCTAGCAACTGAGACATATGATTGATTTATAAATATGCCCAAGGGAGGCCTAGAAAGGGTCTTGAGTCCTAAGACATCAACCCCCAACTAATGGAAGCAAGGCTCCTCTTACTGCTCTGACAATTTTTGTCAGATTTGATGACTTATTGAATTATCTTTTCCCCTTCTCTGTTTACCCTGCTCTTAGGATTGCCTGTGGTATTTTACATGTGCATAAACAACATATTGAGACAGGTTATCAGTTATTGGTCTCATCATCATTATTCATTTACATAATTATACATGTTCATTTGTTAACGTCTAATTTAATTAACATTTAATTACATACATATACAAAATAGTCTATATTGTGAAGATATTGTGGGTTGTTATTTGTCTCTATAATCCATAAATTCTGACCTATCTTCAGCATTATATTTTCCCTAACCCATTAAAATTAATTGCCTTCCAGTGTAATCGACCAGCAGAGTCGGTGGTTGCAGCGTGATTTGAGAACAATACAAATAAAATAATGGTGTAAAATAAAGATTGTTTACATTTACAGATTAATGTAAGAGCTACACGTTGCTCCATACTAAGAAAACAGATGGTGTAGCATCCTATCATCATAAAATGATAACAGGGAACCACTTTTAAGGGAATAAGGACCATACTGACAGTTTTTTGGCCCAACAGATAACTATATTCATCTTAATGAGAACTCTTCACTATAGTGGGAATCTAATATTTTGCCTACTGTTAGAAATAACAATCATATTGTGAAATGATATAAAAAGCATTGATACAACTTTTATTTAAAGCCTTTATGTGTAATGGTTTATAAAGGTATTAAAAATGTATGTTATAATACATTATATCTTTTCATAAATAATTGCAAAAAGTTCAAATGCATTACATTTGCAGATTCCTAGTTACATCTGAAATTGGTCGTTTGTCATGTGTTTAAATGCATTATACTTTCTAAATGTTTGTAACTGTAGTTACAATTATTCATAAGACCATACAATGCATTGTATTACAAGGCATAATTACATTAAAATACTTTATAATGCATTATATATAAAGTCTTAAAGTAAAGTGTCACGATATTCTAGCCATTGACTATAAGAATCAATACACATGCTGCTTTTTCTTTTCTCGAAAAAATGCTCATATAGGTGCCACAAAATTTTGCATCTAAATTCAATGAAGATGCTTTACAAAAAAGCACACACACACAAATCAATACATAGTTAAGGTCAGAGCATGTTTTTATCCATTTATATGGAGTAGTCCAGGGCCATCATTAACACTTCAGGCAACCCCAACCTGTGCTTATTGGCCAGGTCATAATCCTGGTATAATGCAGCATAATATTATAAATACTAAACATTGCATTGGCTACTTACTTTGTGACTTGTGCCCGTGCTCTTTGTTCAGCTTTGAGTGTTGACTTCTCCTTTGCTACCCAATTTGAGATGGTCCTCAAGGTGTCCTGTTGCTCCTTCGGGGTGTTGGCTGAGGGATATAGGCTTACCCTTGAGTACTGATCAAAGACATGAGTGTGATGAGGATCTGTGACTCCTCCCTTAGATATGGGACCAGGCTGGAAGATGAAGCTTAGAGGGTCTTTTTAACTATCCACTGAAAAAGAAACTCCAGGAGCAAACGCGCAGTGCAGCAGTGACAGCGGAGGAAGCAGCGTCCTCGTGATGTGAGAAAGGTAAGCTTGTGCTTCTCAGAATGATGCAGCCTACTGATATTGATGATTTAATTCTAAAAACTGTGTATCATTTGGCGTTATAATTGTGTACCATTTAAAAAAAATGCTGCATGGGTCATTGGAGACGGCATAAGAACAAAATCTAGTTTATATTGACAAAATAAATTGATTCTCTCTTGAAGATTTAAATGAAAAGCCATTGTTTTGGAGATAAATGATTCTTAATGATTCATGGGTTGCACTAACTTTCATTAACTTTGCATTAACAATCCTGTGCTTGTTGGATACGAGTTTAAAGTTACAATGCATGGTCAGGCCAGGGTGTTATGGCCCATATATGGATCAGAAGAGACAGAGAGGTCATAACTCATTGAAATAGTGACTCTTAAGTTTGACATTGCACATGAGCACATACATAACTACGCCGCAGGAGCGCCGTACTGATGTTACATTTGCCGAACACTGTCAGACCGTTTAAAAAATGTAGTGGCAGTAAAATGCTCCAAATATAACGTGGACAGCATGTTCAGGCTTTTAAGTGCTTTTAAGTGAGACTTTATGGTGACATCGGTATGCATTCATATGGAACTTCTGTATAATATTTCTCTCTTTTTGTCTCTTTCTGAATAGATGTGTTCAGCTCTTGAGAATTTTAAGACCATAGTATCATGGATTAATAATCAGATCGTTGTGCTTTTTGAATTCATACTCAAGAGCAGTGGATTTATAATGATGTCACTTTGCAGGTACAATAACAGTCCATACACAAGAGCATTGTTCAAAGAACCTGAATATTTTATTTATTTACACCAAACCATTTTTTTGCTAAAGCATATCTGAAGAATCAAAAGCTTATTTTACACTTTAGCATTTCCATACGAGCAAAAAAGAAAACAAAAATAATGTGAGCAATCGAAACTTTGCACCTATTTTTTTTCTGTAGTACAGTATAATTGATTTTGTGAAAGTGTGAAAGCGTGTACATACACAAAAGAAAAGAATAAATTATTTAATAAATTAAATAGCATACAAGAACAATACCCCCCCCCCCCCCCAAAAAAAAAACAAAAAAAAACAAAGCTAACACTTTAAAATAAAGTTTTTTAATGTGAACAATACTTCTACAGCATTAATCTTAGTTAATATTAATTTCAACATTTACTAATACATTATTAAAATCAAAGGTTGTATTTGTTAACATTAGTTAATGCAATGTGAACTAACATGAACAAATAATAAACAGCTGGATATTTATTTACTAACATTAACAAATATTAAATAAATACTGTAACAAATGTATTGCTCAGTTAGTTTATGTTAGTTAATGCACTAACTAATGTTAACTAATAAACCTTATTGTAAAGTATTACCGCTGAAGTAAAATCATTGTCAAACAGGATTAGGTAAGCATGGCGCATTAAGAATCAGCCACCCAAGAAGCACAACACGTAGAGTTTTTTCTTTATGTTTTCAGGTTTTTGTGCTATTAAAAACAGTAAGACTATATGAAGTTTTACCACATGCATTTGATTCTACCAGTTTTGTCTAATAGGGCCACACAGTGTAGTGTTCGCACAAGCCACATCTTTCTTCAAAAATATGTAGGGCCTAAAATCTAAAAAAAAACAACATGAAGATTGGAAAGATGTTTGTTTTGGCATCCTCCACACGCCATGGTTTTATTCTGAAAAACAAATAAAGAAAATACGGTTAAGGTGTTAGATTCAATTTATCTAAGGTGTTATGTATGAAATGTTCTAAACTTACTGAATTTACTTTGTAACTTTTATGAGTTAACACTTAAATATTTGAAACAGAAGTGTTAAGTTATTCTTAGGATTTCTGAAGATATATTTAGAAATATATTTAGAAACATTATATTGCATATAGATTTGGTGCATTGGTAGGATATTTTGTAAAATTAGATTCAGAAGGAATTAGATGTTCCCTTTCGAAGGGAACTCAACAATACGTCATCGACGTTATGGGGAACGCCTCAGGCGTGACAGGTGTCTGAAATCACTATCAAATCACGTCAATCACATTGACCGGCGACAGCCCGTGAATCATTAGCGTGAATGATTAACGTGCGACCTGAAAGTATATAAGGGCGCCTTGCAAACATGACAAATCATCTCATCGTCTTCAGGGACTGTTTTGTCTGTAACTGCTTTGAAAATCAGGTAATTATGAAATGCTTTCAGAAGTGTGCAGACCCGTGCTCAAGATATCTGAAGCCGGGTGACACACGCGAACTGTGCATTTTTCTGTCTGGGAAGGGAGACGCGCACAGGCAGTTCTCGAGGGAACTGCCTGTACAAATTGTGATCGCGCCGGTCCCTCTTCTCGAGAGAAGAGGGTTCAGCGTCTGGATGTCACAGATAAAGCTCGCCGATCGCCTTGAGAGGGGTGTAATCCTCTCAGACGATGCGGCGGCTGACGAGAAGCTGCAATTGGATGAAGTTTAAAAAAAAAAAAAAAAAGGAAAACTTAGTCCGGCAGCAAGCGCTCTCCCGGACAAACAGGAGATGGCTGATGAGGGTGGTAATAATAAGATATTTTCCTGTATCTTCTCAGCTACCCTGCCCCGTGTATGCTGAGCTGGTGGTATTATAGAACGCGCCGCGGACAGGCTGCAGCTGCCGTGGCTGCTCGTTGGGGGAGAAATCGCTCGCGATGAGAGCGGTTTTTCCCCGGTCATAGAACCACCAGCTCAGGTGAGCCTTTCATTTCTTCCCGATCTCATACTGAGATCGAGAGGACATGGAAGAACCCATACTCTGCCTGTATCCACCAACATCAGCAGGCTAGTCTCGCTGATGTTGAGAGGATAGGAGAGCGTGGGTATGCGTCGATGGGAAAACAATCGACACTGAGAGCTCAAACCCTGCCAGTTGAATGGCAGAGCATACACGTCAGCGGGTCAGGCCGGTGCTAGCCTGCACATCATGGCGGTGTTGCAGGTACACCAGGCCAATCTGCTGGGGGATCTCGACCAGGGGGTGGGGCCCCTGAGGCGGTTACTGAGCTGCTCCGCAAATGAAAAAATGTGTGTATATATATATATATATATATATATATAGCTCTCCGGGATGGCGACGATACTGGCCACGGAGAGACATTTGTGGTTGAACCTGGCCGACATCGGGAAGAAAGAGAAAGGCTTTCTCCTCGATTCGCTGGTTTCGCCCTCTGAGCTTTTCGGCACCTCCGTGTTGGCGGTGGTTGGAAAGTTCAGAGAGGCGAAGGCGCGCTCAGCTGTATCCAGGACATACATACCGCTGAGATCCGTGTCCACGCCCAGACAGATGGGAGGGCCTGGCCTATCATGGTCCGAGGACCTTAGATAAGGCCAGAGAGCCAGTGTCACCTCTCGTGCGCCTCCTCCGTGGAGTAGTAGGTCGCAGAGGAGGCGCGACTCCCGCAAGAAGAGGGATCTGAGGGAGGTGATCCGGCACAAACGCACGTTGCGTTGGTCATGGATCATCTTCCCTGAGGGCGTGATTATATCTTAGCCCTTTCCTCTCTTCCCCGACTCCCCAGGCGCTTCTTACATCAGGCCTGAGGCTGGGCTCATGGTTAGAACAATGTTCTGATGGCCCGCCTCGGCTTGGTTAGTGAGAGTGCCTCTTTCAGGTATGTAAAGGTGGTAGACCCCATGTTCATGAAGAACTGTCTGGTGAGTCTTCACTTCGCACGCCGCAGGTGAGCTGCTGGTCTTTCAAAGAGTATTTTTTGTGATTAAAAAATAATATGTTTCTCTTTACAGACCTCGTTCCCTGTATAGAGTTATGGGGCCATGTCAAGGTAATAAGGTAAGGGAACTTTTTTGGATTATCAGGGCCCTGAAGTTCCCCGTTAGGTGGCCAGAACGATAACTATGTTAGCCTTCGGGCTATTAGCCACCTCAGGGTAGAGTAGTTGGTCTCTCTCTGATAGAATGTTTTACTTAGAGTGTTGACTGACGCTAGAGCTTCAGATAGATCTTATGTCCGGCCCATGGGACCGTTTTGACTTTTCTGAGTATTTCGCCCCTTGAGCTCTGTTGAGTTTTCATTAGGTTGAGCGTTCTGCAGCCCTTTGTATGGAATAATACAGACTATATTCTTTAGTAGGCTGTGGCTCCTCTGAGCCCTCAGATAGATCTATGCGACGTATTGTCTCGTTCCCTGTTCTCAGGGAACAAAGGTTACATTTGTAACCTGAGACGTTTTCAGTTTTCTGAGTGGGTTTTGCTGGGTTTCCTAAGAATGTTGCAGGTCATGTAAGATCATTCCGTACTAGGATTGATCAACGCCTGTTTGAACATGTACGTAGATTTCTTGTTATTACGTAAGTGCGTTGTTGCCAGAGTGTATCTCCAGGAGTTTGTCTCCCCAACATGAAAATAGTTTGAAAATGCTGCTGAATATGTAAAGTTATGTTATCTTGACAAGGCACAGGAAGTTATTAAACAATAATGAATAATACATGCAGTTAAAAATTATGCTTTAGTAAGGCAGACTTTCATTAAAGTTACAGTTTTTAATACTACAAAATGAGGTTGCACTTTATTTACAGTACGTGCACTTACGTGTAACAGTGTACTTACCTAAGAAAGCACTAGGTAATATGAAGTAACTACATGGGTTAAGGTTAAGTTTAGGGGTAGGTTCGGGGTTAGTACCTTACCCATTTATTGTAATTACTATAATAAGTACATAGTATGTACAGTCAAACCAAAAATGACCCCAGATATAATTTTTAATATTTTTTTTACTAGTGGGTGCAGGAGACTATAGTTCATTTATGTAAGTGAGGAAATCAAAATAAAGTATAAACTGTGACATATTATATCCAAAAATTCTTCATACAGTGGACTACCAGTAAAATTAATACAAATTTGGGACCAAAAATTATTCAGACACTTTGACCTGACCATGTTTTGCTTAAGAGTTTTTTCTTTAATTGCTAATGCGACCTTTTCACACCACAGACTGAACAAAATTAAGCATTGCTTGGTAATTGGTTGACCTAAATTGGTATTATCTAATTGTGTACTTATTTAAATGTAATAGCTGACAGCTATTCAACCTAATTCATTTGTGAGACAGTCTAACAGAAGAATGGGCAAAACCAGTGAAATAGCATCTGATTTGATAACTCTGAGTTCTCTTACGAGAGGTTCTCTCGTATTGCGTAAGCTAGCTTATGCTACGGGAAAGATTCATCTTTTCTGAGAAATTGAAGCCAAAAATTATCCTATAATTTTGTATCTATTGTTAACGCAGTTCAGCTGCAGCAGAGCATGAGCAGGCTAGCTAGCAGCTCATTGGCTCGCTCACAGGGAACTGCTTAAGCCTATGAGGAGACACGAATGAACTCTCGGCCAATGAGAGTCTGACCTGCTCTCATTGCGTCAGAGCCCGCCGAAACGGGCGTGGCCAGAGAGTATAAATTCGCCTCTCAGGCTGTAAATTCTGATTTTTCATCTCTTTAGCGAGGCTACACGCATCTGCTGATCCTGAGAGAAGCCGCCGTAGTGGAAAAGGCACCTTCTAGCGAGCATCTGGGAGACTGAGGAAGCCGGCCGTCTTCGCCACCTTCAGCCGTCCTGCAAGCTAGCGCCATCCGACGGATTCATATCCTCTCCCAAAAGCTTCTTGTTTTGTGTGTGTGTATCTAAAAGAGCCGAGCGTCTTTGTAAAGATGTCTCGTTTTTCCTCCTGCGGTTCTTGCCGCGCTCCCCTCGAGACTGGAGACCGCCACGTCATCTGCGCTCTCTGCCTCGGATTGGAGCACGCCGAGCTCGCCCTCGCCGATGGCGGCTGCGATCTCTGCGAATGGGCTTCTGTTGTCGACCCTGCGGGCTCGACTCGAAGCGTTACGCCGCCTCCCCCTCTCACCGCCTACGAGCGCTGAATGGGGGACGAGCCGCTTTCAGCTGTGCCAACCGCGGCTAGCTTTCTTTACTTTACAAGAGAGCTAGCCCGGCCCCACGCATACGCGTCACCGGCAAGTGGGTTTATAGTGCGTTAGTTCCGTCGAGGCCGAACTGGTCGCTGCTATCACGCCCTCTTATCTGCTCGCGCTATTAAGCCTGTGTTTTCCCCCCTAGCTCAGTGGTGGAACACAAAGCTTTTCGCGCCAGAGACCCGTGTTCGATTCCGGCTCTCGCAGATAACTTTTTTATGCAGCTCTGAGCTCTCGGCTAGCTTTCTTACGTTACAGAAAGCGGCCGCGCTCTCCCGCCTGCATATAGCGCCGCTACATAAAGCGTTTATAGTGTATCAGTTCCGCTGAGGCCGAACCTGTTTCTGCTATCACGCCCTCTTATCTGCCCGCGCTGTTATGTGTGTGTCTTTAACCCTGGCTCAGTGGTGGAACACAAAGCTTTTCGCGCCAGAGATCCGTGTTCGATTCCGGCTCTCGCAGATAATCTTTATGCAGCTCTGAGCTCGCGCCCAGCTCTCTTACGTGATAGAAAGCGGCCGCGCTCTCCCGCGCTCATGAGAAACATTCTCATTTCCGAGCATAAAGCTGGACAAATGGGTTATAGTGTGTTAGTTCCACCGAGGCGAACCTGTTACTGCTATCACGCCCTCTTATCTGCTCGCGCTACTGTTCTTGTGTCATTACCCCTGTGGCTCAGTGGTGTATCACAAAGCTTTTCGCGCCAGAGACCCGTCACAAGTCCAGCCTCTG